GAGTGGATAGCACTCTCGCCTCTCAGCAAGAAGGTCCTGGGTTCGAATCCCGGCCGGACCAGGGCCTTTCTGAGTGGAGTTTGCATGTTCTCCCCGTGTCTGCGTAGGTTTCCTCCGGGTACTCCGGTTTCCCCTACCACTAAAAATATGTACAATAGGTCTGGCATGCGCCTCCTGTTCGGCGACCCCGCTCCCATCTCTGTGTGGAGTGAGAGGACAAGTGCCCAAAAAATAACAATTGTAAACCGCTTTGTGACTCTGGTCTGTGAAAGGCGGTATATAAATAAAGCTTACTTACTTACTTACTTACTTCAAATGAAACACCAGCGTGTCTGTCTTGAACCTGTGTGAGGTCGCTCTTTTGAATTCTTCCTGTCAAGTTTGCACTATGTGAGATGAGCGCTGCGGTAATGAATCGAATTTTGTAAATGGTTTCTGAATAATTGAAATGGATACCCAATTTGCAGTGCTAAACAAATATTACGTCCTGCCATTCAAAGTCCCATGCATTCAACTTAAAGAAATCCAGCATTTTGCATTGTGCATCCTGTTCTTTCCAGAAACAAGAAGTAAATATGAAAAGTGCATTATCCCGTAATGTAATAAACACCATCTTCTCCAGTAAATTTATCCCTTATACTTTATTCTACTTAAGCCAGGAAATGCATTATTCTTGTCGCTTTCAAAGGATATAGCATAAATCATGTCCCAGTAATGTACTATTTATTTGATTAGGTAGTTTTCCAATTAATGTTTGTTCCGCAGAGTCTGGTGGTGTCCGAACGCTAAAGTGAAACGGAGGTGTGCGTGCAGCTTAGCTAATGTAATTGTATCATATCTGCACAGATTGGAGGCATCAATGGTTTCTCTTAGTGTAAAGCCATACGTAAAGCCCGAATGACATAAAAGAGGATTATTAAAAGTTACTGCAGGAAAACTTTTGAGATACACAAACTGGGGACAGCAAGGGCCATTTAGACAACAACAACAAGGGAGTAATGAGTTTTTAAAATGTTTTATATAACCTTTATTAAACCAGGAAAGTACCATTGAGATTAAGAACCTCTTTTACCATGGTTACTATGGCGGCGCATGAACATGCTGCAGCTTCTCTCTCTCTTGACAAGGTGACGTTTCTACCCTTTTCTACCCTTTTCTGATAACTGCATTTGCAGTTTTTGTGATCCGCATTGTTTTGCAAGATGTTGTTGTACATCTTTGCCATGTTTTTGTGGAGTTCAGCGGATTTTTTACTGCCAAAGCTCTTTGCTAGCAATGAACAGAGGATGTGTTTTTAAAAGTAAACACACAGTTAGCATCTGAGCTAAAGGCTTTTTGAGCAGTATTTAACCTTTCTGTCGTGTTCGGGTCAAATCTGACCGATTTCCTACTTTCAACAATCATACATTTTTAGTTTTATATTTTATTGTTTCAAGGCCTTATGATATCCTCCACACTAGGCATTTGAACATGTACAATTGATGATCACCACTTTCGTTGAATTTTGAGGGGGTAAATCAACTTTGTAACACCTGTGGTGTTCCCGGTCAAAAATGGCCGCCATAGGAAATGAATGGGTGACTCTAGATCCTTTCATTCACCATAGTTTTCAACACACACACACACACACACACATACGCGTTTGCGTGACAAATGAGGACCTATGTCTGCACTGTGACATATCAGGACGTGCCTTTCTGAAGGTCCCAGAGACCTGAGGATCACATAGGGGGGAGCAGGGTGTGTTCAGTAAAACAGCTAGCTGTTGATATTTTGGTTACAAGAAACTTTTTTCCTGCAAGATTTTATTGCCACATATGAGGACTTTGACAGGTCTGAGTGATATATAAGGTCCTACAACACACACATCAGGTCTGAGTGAAATATAAGGTCCTACAACACACACATCAGGTCTGAGTGACAAATAAGGACCTACAACACACACATCAGGTCTGAGTGAGATATAAGGACCTACAACACACACATCAGGTCTGAGTGAGATATAAGGACCTACAACACACACATCAGGTCTGAGTGAAATATAAGGTCCTACAACACACACATCAGGTCTGAGTGACAAATAAGGACCTACAACACACACATCAGGTCTGAGTGAGATATAAGGACCTACAACACACACATCAGGTCTGAGTGAGATGTAAGGACCTACAACACACACATCAGGTCTGAGTGAGATATAAGGACCTACAACACACACATCAGGTCTGAGTGAGATATAAGGACCTACAACACACACATCAGGTCTGAGTGAGATATAAGGACCTACAACACACACATCAGGTCTGAGTGAGATATAAGGACCTACAACACACACATCAGGTCTGAGTGACATATTAGGACCTACACCACACACATCAGGTCTGAGTGAGATATAAGGACCTACAACACACACATCAGGTCTGAGTGAGATATAAGGACCTACAACACACACATCAGGTCTGAGTGACAACCTATACGCTCCGCCTCCTCCTCCACACACTCTGACCACAACCTAAACGCTCCTCCTCCTCCTCCACACACTGACAACATACCCTCCTTCTCCATTTCCTCCTCCACACACACTGACCACAACAAGGGGTTTTATGCCCAAAATCCACTGCACTCACAGTGGACGCTAAAGCTGAGCATGCAGTGTTTGCTAATGCTTTTATAATATGTTTCTGATGTGGATATTCAGACTCAACATTGACAATAACAGCGCTCACACACCTGTCTCGCTGCTCCTTCTCTTCCTCCTCTGCTCACACACCTCTGTCTCCTCCTCCTCACACAGAAGATGCAAGTATCCATCTCTCTGTTCACTGGGCTCATTCCCGTTACTTTCTTCGTTCCTCACTCAGACCCAGACACTGCTAAAGTTATCTGACAGCTCCGTAAAGTTTGTTTTGGAGGACCCGCAGCGTACATAGCTGCCCTGGTGCCTGCCTGTTTACAAATCGCTTTTGGTGAAAATTTGACTTTACTTGTATAATAATGTACTTTTGATCAAAAGAAATCACAGAGGTCCAGAAAAAGGGGTTTAGGGGTCCGAACTTGGAGCGCAGTCCGCCCTTTGGGGAACCTTGAACTAGTGTATTTATTAAAAAATAAAAAGGAAGGAAGATTGCGAGGCCCTGTGCGACGGCACAGGTCGCACAGCCCCTCCGACGGGCCTGCACCCGGCATCTTCACGGGAAGAAGTATCTTGTTTAATGCTACTGAATGAAAAAGTGTTTGGGTTGTATTCTCTTCCTCAACTCCTTAATATAAAAGGCCCCTTCAGGTGATTTTCAGGTCTGGCCGGAGAGATGTTGATGTGATGTGTGCAGAGAACTTGAGTTTGCATCTACAAAGCTAGTTTTGTCTTTACCCAGTATGATTGCTACTTTACTCAAGCTCCAATAGAAACTTTAGAACACTAATGATCAACTTGTTTGATATTGCCCACAATTTTATTCCAAAAGTCTGAGGATCAAAAGAATAAATCAAAAAGATTTGTGTTTGGGATAGATATGTTTCTGCTTCTATATATCTATTTATCCATCCATCCATCCTTCATACAAAAATGAATGCATTTTATTTTCAGTATAGTCTTTGGATGACACACTTTAATATAATATCACCTTTAACGCAAAGCAAAACAATGTCTAATAAATATTTTGACTTTGCGTTGGAGATTTGAAGTTGACCCATGACATACAATTTCTATCACCAAATATAAAAATACTTCTCCCCCTGAATATTGCTTATTCAGTGAAATACATCCATTTGTTTCAAAAGATGCATTTCATTATTTTCTTTTAGACTTTTCTTGAACATGACATTGAATCACCATGGCAACACAACATGGCGATGTCATTTTGTTTGTCTAAGCGGAACATTCTATCACCACAGCAACCAACACCATGTCATCGTAACCACGGCTCTGAAAAGTTCATGTGTGTGAAGAAAGACAAGACAAGTGACTTAAACAAACCCGAGGGAAATACGAGGATCAGAGCCCAGATTGACAAAGCAAAGCAAACGATACAACACTGACAAGATGTGGTGTTTTAGAAGAAACACGAGTAAAAAGGAGCTTTACAAAGCCATGGTGGACAATTTGGTTCTTGCGGAGGAATCAAACCAGGCTTTGTTGGCTGAGGTCAAGAAACTGAAGGAGGAGAAGAGTGACCTGGTCAACGCTCAAGCAGAAGAAACATGCAGACTGAAGGAGCAGGTGACACAGCTGCAAATGGAGAAGTCTGCTCTGGAGAGGGACTTTTTGGAGTCCACCGCTTTCAACCGGCACCAACTTGACACCACCCTCCAGGAGAAAACCAGCCTTGAACTCTCGCTGCAACAAACCACCGGAGAGCTGCAGACCGTACAGCAGACGCTGAGGACTTTGGAGAGGCGTGCTGAAGAGGACAGGCGAAAGAATGACTCCATCATTAAAGGTATGGACACACATCTCTCAAAAGTTGACGATGAAAACATGAACACATTAGAAGTAATAAACTTTTGTCTTCTAGATGCTGAACATTATATTAAGGAGCTGGAGACCAAAATGCAGGACCAGGAGATGCACCTGAAGAAAGGTAATTATGAGCTGGAGGAAAAATTGCTCAGGCTTCTGAAAGAGATAGGTGTTTAGAGAGAACTTTGTCCTGAAAAACTCTGTTTTTGCAGAAATGGAGGAGGAGATGAGCAAATTTAAGGCTCAGAAGGCGGAAACAGAAAAGCTGAAGGAGCAGGTGACACAGCTGCAAAGGGAGAAATCTGCTCTGGAGAAGGACTGTTTGGATTCCACCACTTACATCCAGTACCAACTCAAAACCACCGTCCAGGAGAAAACCAGCCTTCAACTTTCTCTGCAAAAAAGCACCGCAGAGTTGCAGACGACAAAGGGTGAGGTGCGGGAACTGAAAGAGGCTTGTGCCAGATGTGAGGACAGGAACAAGGAGGTCACCAACTTCTCCAAGATCCTGAAGGAGGAGAACAAGGGCTTGTCCGAAGCAATGGAGTCCGTAAAGCAGACTCTGAAGGAGGAGAAACAAGCCTTGTCCACAGAACTGCAGTCCGTAAAAACGACTCTGAGGACTGTGGAGAAGCGGGCTGAAGATGACGGGCAACGGAAGGACTCCCTCCTGAACGGTATGGGCACAGATCTCTAAAAAGTTGAAGAAGAAAACATGAACACATTTGAAGTAATGAACTCTTGTCTTCTAGATGCTGGCTTTTATATTGATGAGCTGAACACCAAAATGCAGGACCAGGAGATGCACCTGAGGAAAGGTAATTATGAGCTGGAGGAAACAAACTGCTCAGATGGAGGAGTTTAGAGAGAACTTTGTCCTGAACAACTTTGTTTTTGCAGAAATGGAAGAGCGGGTGAGCAAATTCCAGGAGATAATGAAAGAGGCCGTCGACGAGAACCTACGCCTGAAATATGAACTGAACTTTCTGAAGAAGAATCCGTCCAAGCAGCAGACCCAGGACCCTCAGGAGGGCCTCACTCCACACTATCCTCAGCAGATGCAGAGACGCAGTCGTCAAAAGACAGACGTCTATAGACGGGTCTGTTACGGTCCCAAGAACTAAGACTAAGTTCTGAATGAACCCCCCCCCCCTCCCCCTAAACCTTCCCTCGACCATTTTCACAACAAACGGCACATTGGATCCTGACCCACAACCCTTACAGAGTCACAGTGACTGGAGTTAAACCTCCACATGCTTCAAGTATTTAATACTCATGAATATTGTGTCCGTTTGGTCATGAGGCTAACGGCTAACAGCTAGTGCTCGCTGCCTCTGATGTCAAAGAGTAATGTCAGTGATTAGAGACCGCTGTAAGACCAGGCGCCACAGTGGGACGACTGCGGCTGTAAAGTGCCACACTGTTGTTGTGTTCTTTAGCAAGACACTTCACCCACAAGTATGAATGGGTGTGTGTGTATGTGGTGGTTAGAGGGGCCGACTCAGGTTGGCAGCCTTCGTAGTCTGTCCCAGGGCAGCTATGGCTACAGTAGTAGCTGACTACCACATGATTGAATGTGTGTATGAATGAAAGGTGGTGGTTAGACGGGTCGACTCAGGTTGGCAGCCTTCGTAGTCTGTCCCAGGGCAGCTATGGCTACAGTAGTAGCTGACGTACCACCATGAATGGTATGAATGAATTGCGGTTTTGTTTTGATGAAAATAATACTTGACAGCGTTAATGCGATACGTTTTATCTGTTTCACCCTGACCCCTCTGGCGCCATCTAGAGGATCTGCTAGACAAAACGTAGACTCAATGACCGAATGTATAAACTGAAAGATCTTAGGTTAAAACGCAGCATACTCCAGAGCTGACGACCTGTGCTCATGAAGGAACCAGTGTGTGCAATGTCCAAATGTGAAAAGGGTCCATCCCCCCTTCCCTCCCTTCCCTCCCCGCAACAAAAAAAGTAATTAAAAAAAAATATAAATAAAAAATTGTAACTGTGTTACATAGCTGAACCAACAAGCTGATTTTTTCAATCAAATTACTGGTTTTAATAAAGCTCAGAAAATACTGTCTACTACAGAAAAACAGAATGTCAATAATTCTAATAAAAAAATACAGTATGTACACTAACCTTACACAGACTCACCTTAACCCTGACCTTCTTACTCAGACCAACTGAGTAAGAGTGTTTGGAGACTAACACTGAGCCTTTGCCCCACACCAGGAGTAACAGGTGGAAAGAGCTCTCTGTCCCTGAGCTCAAAAGGTTCTTGGGACTCAGTTTCCTCACTGGTTACCTGAAAAAAACCAACAGTTGAGATGTACTGGTCTACAGATGAGATGGATGCAACCCTATATTTTGCAAAAGTAATGTCTAGGAACAGGTACCAGCTCATCTGGAAGTTTCTTCATTTCAATAACAATAGGTCACATGATGTAGGTGACAAAATGTACAAAGTCCGCCCTGTTTTGGACTACCTGGTAAATAAGGACATGTACAGTCCAGGGAAGAACATCTGCATCGATGAGGGAATGATGATGTGGCGGGGGCGTCTGGCTTTTAGGGTCTACAATCCTCAAAAGCCAGTGAAATATGGCATCAAGTCCTATATTCTATGTGACTCAGCCACAGGGTACTGCCACAATATGCTGCCTTATGTTGGGACAAGCTCCACACTGGAGGACACTGTCTTCTGTCTTCTGGGTCGTCTCCAAGGCCGAGGTCACACACTTTTTATGGATAATTTTTATAACTCTGTTTCACTCAGTGAACATTTACTGAGGAAAAACACAAATGTGTGTGGAACTCTAAGGAAGAATAGAGGTGAACCAAAAATAATAAAAGAGGTCACAAAAATGCAGGTTGAAGACAGGATTGTCAGACACAACGGGAAGGTGATGGTGGTGGCGTGGCAGGATGAAAGACTGGTGAAAATGGTGACGACCTGTCACCATAACACTATGGAGAAGGTGGAAGTGTGGCAGAAGGGAGAGAAGCAGAAGGTGCCACAGTGGAAGCCAGCGTGTGTTGTGGAGTACAACAAGTGCATGAACGGAGTGGAAGTTGGACCAAAACGTGGCCTACTATCCATTCATCAGACGGTCCACAAATTGGTCCAAGAAATTCGTGGCCTATCTTATCCAGCTGGCAATGTTCAATGCTTTTGTTGTCTATAGAACCAGACACCCCAGAGGAGAGTGCAAACACCTCCTACAGTTCCTCAAGAGTGTGTCTAGGTCGTGGACGTCAAGGAGGCAGGAGGAGGAAGGAGGAGATGAGGAGAGTGCTGCTGTCTTGGGACCACACAACGCCAGGGCTCCTATGGTTGACCCAGAGAGCCGGCTGGATGGGCAACTAAGGAGGCACAAAATGGAACACCTGATGGCCACTAGTAATAAGGAGAGACCAACCAGAAGATGTCGGGTCTGTTTCAGGAGGGGTCTTCGCAGGGAGACCAACAAGTGGTGCGCGGCATGTCGTGTTCCGTTACACACAGGACAGTGTTTCACCTCCTACCACTCGAAGCTGAACTATTGGGAGGAGTGAAAAAAGCCCTCACACACTCAACTTTACACCACACTTTGTTCTATTTTATACATTTATAGTTTTATAGATTTTTGTGTTGTTGTTGTTTGAAGTTTGTTGATGGTATAGAAGAATGGTATCTGAATAAATTGCCAACAATTTGCCATCAAAAGTATTTTCTCAGAGTCATGTTTTTATCATTTACATAAGGGAACAAGTGTGAAGATGTTTGAGGTGTCACTAAAGCAAAAAAAATGCACCTAAAAGTCACTTTTCTGCTTGATATGTTCCTGTTTACATACAGCTCGTTTTCTCTGTTTTCTTGCTCAGACCAGGTGTTATGGGTGAAAGTATGCTATGTTCTATGGCAGATTGTGCAAGAACGGTAAAAGGTAGAAACAAACTGTTTCATTCAGAGCACAGCAGAGAGATTAACCTTTAATTTGGTGCCCTTGGTGTTGACATAGTCTAAAAAATGACTATTCTGTGGCTCTTCAAAGTTGGGTCGAATCCCCTGAAAACGCTGGCAGAACCCACTTCTCAAATCTGAAAATGCCTGGCAGTCAGTGAGTTAACCATCTTACTCAGACCGCCTTAACCCTAACCTTAACTATCTAACTCACACCACCTTAACCCTAACCTTAACCATCTTACTCAGACCACCTTAAAGCTGCACTAACTGACTTTATTTTTGTATTCATTACGGAAAAGCTATCCATGTCCATGCAGTGCATTGGGATATTCGTCCTTTTGAAGAAAAAGTAGCGCAGATTTGGGCTGGCGTGACATTATATTTTAGATCGAGTTTTGATGAAACAAGGAAGAGAATGTGTTTCGGGTCGCAGATTGTGACCAATCACAGCGGACCACTGGCCCCCACTTTCGTGAGAAATCTACAGGTCCGTTAGCACAGAAGGCTGAGTTAGCACAACAAGTGGCGGAGCTAACCTGAAGCTTCCTCGTCTTCGTCACCGGTTACTGCTTACACAGCGAGACAGCCATCCAAAAGAAAGTCTCGTTCCTCCGCGCTTCCCGGTTCTATCGTTCTATGGTCACGCCATCCACGTGCAAATCCATGTCCATGTATTTATCCATATTGGGAGACGCTAGCTCCGTCCCAACAGTGGGTGTGTGTGGGGGCGATAGCTTCGTGGGTGCGGGGAGGGGAGCAGAAAGAGAGAGGCCAGCGAGTCTGCGGCTTCAAAATCCCAAAGTCAGTTAGTGCAGCTTTAACCCTAACCTTAACCATCTCACTCAGACCACCTTAACCCTAACCTTAACCATCTTACTCAGACCACCTTAACCCTAACCTTAACCATCTTACTCAGACCACCTTAACCCTAACCTTAACCATCTTACTCAGACCCACCCTTAACCCTAACCCTAACCATCTAACTCAGACCGCCTTAAACCTAACCCTAACTATCTTACTCAGACCCGCCTTAAACCTAACCTTAACCATCTTACTTACAATACAATACAATTTATTCTTGTATAGCCCTAGGTCACAACAGAAGTCATCTCAGAGACTTAACAAAACCATTGAAATCACCAACACAAGTCAGTCAATCAACAGCTAAAACACATGAACCCTAACCTTCTTACTCAGACTACCTTAACCATCTTACTCAGACCACCTTAACCTTAACTCAAACCTTAACCATCTTACTCAGACCGCCTTAACCTTAACCCTAACCATCTTACTCAGACCGCCTTAAACCTAACCATAACCATCTTACTCAGACCGCCTTAACCCTAACCTCAACCATCTTACTCAGACCGCCTTAACCTTAACTCAAACCTTAACCATCTTACTCAGACCGCCTTAACCTTAACCCTAACCATCTTACTCAGACCGCCTTAACCCTAACCTTAACCATCTTACTCAGACCGCCTTAAACCTAACCTCAACCATCTTACTCAGACCGCCTTAACCTTAACTCAAACCTTAACCATCTTACTCAGACCGCCTTAACCTTAACCCTAACCATCTTACTCAGACCGCCTTAAACCTAACCATAACCATCTTACTCAGACCGCCTTAACCCTAACCTTAACCATCTTACTCAGACCGCCTTAACCTTAACCTTAACCCTAACCTTAACCATCTTACTCAGACCACCTTTACCCTAACCTTAACCATCTTCCTCAGACCCACCTTAACCCTAACCCTAACCATCTTACTCAGACCACCTTTACCCTAACCTTAACCATCTTCCTCAGACCCACCTTAAACCTAACCTTAACCATCTAACTCAGACCGCCTTAAACCTAACCTTAACCATCGTACTCAGACCACCTTAACCCTAACCTTAACCATCTAACTCAGACCACCTTAACCCTAACCTTAACCATCGTACTGAAGTCAATAATTCCCTTTGACTGACGTATCCAAAGTCGATGCAAGAGCGAGACAAGAGATCTTCACGTTTAACATCTGCATTTAATTATCTTTACAATCAGATACAGAATATTCAACAAAAAAAGTGCTCCTAAACTAATATGTCCCTCTCCTGGCCCTCGGCTGACTGACTGCCAATCTCCTCCCAGCAGTTTCTATCAAAGGGTCCGATGACGTCACAGATCTGGGACTGGTCTGGCCCCTGGTCCTGGTCTGGACCCGGTCTTCCATCTCCACCTGAGCAAACAATGCCCCCCACCACTGGGCGCCTGATTGTGTTGGACTTTTGCCCTCGTCGAGAGTGGGAGAGAGCATTTGTTTATTCTTGGAGTCAATAATTGTCTGGTTTTGTAAGCTGGTCATCTCTTATGATTCCTGAGTGCATATTCCTTTGTCTGATGTGCAGCATTTTGTGAATATTCGTCAGTACTCAGACCACCTTTACCCTAACCTTAACCATCTAAGTCAGACCGCCTTAACCCTAACCTTAACCATCTCACTCAGACCACCTTAACCCTAACCTTAACCATCTCACTCAGACCACCTTAACCCTAACCTTAACCATCTCACTCAGACCACCTTAACCCTAACCTTAACCATCTCACTCAGACCACCTTAACCCTGACCTTAACCATCTTACTCAGACCACCTTAACCCTAACCTTAACCATCTAACTCAGACCGCCTTAAGACCTACAAATCCAGAGATATCATCTTCTGAAGCGCTGACAGGTCACCGAGGGCCCCACACATCTGCAGCACAGTGGAGGCGTCACAAGAGGCGCTACAGGAGTCCCGGCCTCCGTTGTGTGCAACTTCTACAGAGGGACTGTAGAGAGCATCCTGACCAGCTCCATCACGGGGTGGCACGGCACCAGCACTGCCTCCTGCCGAAGGAGCCTCCAGCGCATCGTGAGAGCAGCAGAGAAGATCTGCGGAGCCCCTCTCCCCACCATTAAGGACATGTACTCCACCCGTCTCACCCGCAAAGCCGTCAGAATCACCAGGGACCCTACGCACCCATCACACAGGCTCTTCAGGGTAATGCCTTCAGGGAGGAGACTGCAGAATTTACGGAACAGTTCCAGTCGACTTAAAAACAGTTTCATTCACAAGGCCATCAGGAAGCTGAACTCCCTGCCCTCCCTCCCACCCCTCTTCCCCCACCCCCGCTCCACAATCAAGGATGAGAGAAATATAATTTCAAACCATTCACTTGGTTTGACAAATAAAATTCTTGAAATCTTTTTCAA